GGGCTCCTAGACGGCATTTTATTTTTCCTTCCTACAGGGTTCAACCAGCTAATTCCTCAAATTTCTCAAGCTAGCAGGGCTCTCCCTGAAGGTGTCTAGTCTAGATGTCGCCTGGTGTAAAGTGACAAGCGAAAGGTGAGAACCTATATCAAATCGAGTTACAAGGGCGATTTGTTCCCATGATCATTTTGCCATGGTGCTTTCGCCATAATGACCAAGGAAAGTCTCTCGTGCCTCATTTGAAAACTTTTAATTTCATATTCCACGCTGACGGGGTGGGCGGAGATAGCCACTTGCGCTTTGCTCTTTGGAATGTTTCCGCCATAGCAACCATTCCGGGCTGTACTTCAAACTACAAAAGTCTTGCCTTAAATGGTTGGTGCCACTTTTTCGGCAGAAGTTTGCAGAATCTCTAAGTTCATTCAGGGCTGAAGTCTGCCACGGATGATTTTCTACACAGAAACCCGCCATAAATCATCACCATCAAAATTTTATTTCACCTCCTTTACAGCCTCTCTACCTTCTGCAGACCAGCGCCTGTCTCATGCCCTTTACTGGAGAAAGCAGATTTTCCTTGACGCCACAACTCTCGCGTTATGGCGTCCCTGACAGGAGTCCTTGGTGATTAAATTAGACGGGTGGAATAAATGTGATGGATGAACTGGGTCGGCGTATCTCAGTGGGCCGGTTGCCAAACACGTGTCTTTTCCCTTTGTGTCCCGAAACCCTCTGGCTATTGCTCCAGACTACATTCCTGCCACTTTTTCCTGGTGAAAGCCACCAAGAACTTGATTCAGAATGTTAGGAGTTCATTGTTCCAGCGACCACCGTCGAGGTCGCTTCCATATGTAACGGTTTTAGGAGAAAAGCGGCGGATGGAGGCGAACATGCTTACGGATAGGATATCTCGAAACTGCCTCTGAACGGGTTCTCGGCCATACCGTCGGGGGAGTGACCGACCAACCGACCGGGTTCGGCATCAGCCGTATGTATCCGTTTATAAGCACACTTGATACAGTCGACCGGATCGCATTCACCTAATGTTAGCCGCCGCTCTGCTTCTTCTTCTCCCCGTCGCACAGGTAATTCATTGTCTGGACATTTTTTGCTGATTATTAATTACCCTCTAACTTTCTATCGCTTGCTATGAGAGCCCTAAGAAAGGCCTACAATTACACGTCCTCCTGGGTTTTTTATGTGACTAATCAATTTGGTACTTTTCGCTTGCATCTAAAAAAACATACACAAGAGGCTTGAGTAACCTTATTTGCTTGGTTAAAAACTGTTGGAAAAGGCCTCAAGAGCCTCTTCTAAAGAAAGGGAATAAGGTGGGCCACATTTACAGTAGTGTTTATGGTCCTTCGGCGCTACATAAAGGATATGAGCCCAAGGATCTGCCTAAGCCTAGGGGGGAGGAGTTTCGGAGAGACCCCTTGTCCCAAGGCTGGCAGCGACCAAGAGATGAGGCTGTTCTCGGACGCATTTCGGCGATGATAGGGGGGGGACATTTTATTTGCTACTTCACGTTGACGCGTCTACCCATCTACAGAGCCTTTTCTTGAGTTGACACTTTTGACCATGGTGGGTCGACGAGCTTGCACCAGCAGTTCACAGGTTCCACCGAAATGAGACTTGTAAACCGGAACTAGTGAAGCAGGCAGCGATGCAAAATGCCCCTTCGTCACCGAACTGCCCCGGCTAAGTCATTTCTCCAGTCAGTATCCTTCAGCTGCGACCTCAGCACTGTGCTTTGTTGTCGCTCTGGTAGGACTAGAGGGGCGCGAGCCAAGTTTCCAACTTTTGCCCCTTTCCGTAACCCCTGGGTTAATTCCCAATGTACAGTCACGATCTCTGCAAACGGTAAGCGTGGATTTGAAGGGTGCCAAGGCAGCCTTTTCATCAATGATGTCATGCTGTGTTCGCAACAGAGGCTGTTTAGCTGCGGTCCAACTCACGCCCCGTCACACGCCCTATCCTCTGCAGTGATCGCGACTATGGTCACATTAGGGACGACGGCGCAGTTCGGCGACGGAGGGAGGCATTTTGCACTTTTCGCTGCTTCACTGGTTCCGGTTTACAAGTCTCACTCTAGTGAAACCTGTGAACTCTTGTGAAGCTGGAGCAAGCTCGTCGAGCCCCGTGAAACTTGCCTGTTAAACAACAAGCTCACTAGAGGTCGATCGCTGATCGATGGGAAGCAGTAAATTGCAAAATCCCCCTTCCCCCGTTACCGATCTGCCCCGGGGATGACTCCCTCACTCATTAAATAAGATGCATACATTGGCAGGTTTGAGAGGAACGTTCTTGAAATGAGTCCTACTTTTCGCTGTAGATGGATTTTAATGTCATCACTATAATGCTGATTTATGAATAAAGAATAAGCCCTAGGTAGGAGTCGAACCTGCATCTCCCTTACGCAAAGCGGCCTAGTGTGTCAGCTGAGCTATGGAATGAGAATCCCTTAGCTGTAAGGGTGGAAGGCGGCACTGTTCGCACGGTAGCCATGTACAGCCACGATCCTTGGAGGCGATATGGATGAGGGGGAGTGGATTGGAACATTGCTAGGGCAGTTATCCTCCGATGAGGTCATCCTGAGTCTGCAGCGATGGGCGGGAAGAGCTGTTTTGGCTGCGCTCCAAACCAGTTTTCCAATCATTTGCAGGGATCATGACTATGCGTGGGAGGTGTTGGGAGGGGGCGATCAAGAAAATTGTAACCTGCCGCTCAGCCGCGCGCGGCGATAGGTGTGTGCGGCGTTCCGTTAATTTCCGCGAGCCTTTCGATTGTTTTACATAGAAGACCCCGGTTTATCCACGGGATGAACCTAAAAGTCTTTCACACAGTTGATTTTAAGAGCGACAAGTTGTTCTGAACTTGTTTTATCCTACAAAAAACCAGTCTCAAGTCTGTTGCTAAGCTCTGATTCCAATAGGGTTCATCATTCAAAACCCATTGTGTGGCACTTGAGAAATATTTGTGAAGTTCACTTTTCAGCCTCTCTTCTTTGGTGGAGGTGGAGGCGGTTGTGGCTGCCCAACCCAGTGTTCGCCATGCGCACCTCCTCCACAGCCGATATGTCCTCCACCGCCAGTCTGTGGTCCCTCATATCCCTCATACCCGGTAAGTGTTGCAGAATTTCAAGTCAATTTTTGCCCACTCAAATCTTTCGCCGGAGCACTTCCACTAACCAGAGAAACTTTCAACGATTTCGATCAACGGAGGCATGACAGTAGGCATATTCCGCATATGGGGGAGGGGCCTGAAGAGGGCGTACCCAAGTACGCGCTGATGTGACTGCAAGGATGTAGGTGAAAGAGCGTACAGCTTCACTGTCTTCAGCTTCTTATTCTTCTTCTTGCTCTTCTTCACTAGCTTTTTTGGCACGAAAATAGGCAGCCGTCGCATTGCAGTGTCACTCTCGGGAACGCCCCTTTTGCACCCCGATATGGAGTATTGTGCCCAACCAAAACTCCTAATTGAAAGCAGTCGTCAGTTACAGGAGGGATTCTCTGGAAAATTCATATGATAATCGAAGGAGTTGTCTGATTGAAAGCATTTTCAGAGCTATCCTCAGCCTCCTCCGCAGTACTACCCACCACAAGGTGGAGGCTACCCCCCTCAAGGTATGTCCATAACCTTCACAAACTTTCAAATGTCAAAATGCAAAACAAGCCAGTAAATGAGTGGTAATTAAGGTTCAGGAGGATACGCTGTGCCGGCAAAGAAGAAGTCCCACGGAGTTCAGACCGCCGCCGTAAGTTTTTCTACCTTATTCAAGCGCTGTTGTATTTGTTGTTTTATTTTTGAATTCAGTACATTTAGGAGCGATCCAAAGAACAGCAGATGCTCGTCGAGACTGAAGGACTACGACGACGTGTTCGAAGAGACACTGAAGCGGCCTTTGATCCAAAGTGTAACTCGGAGCTCCTCAAGGAGATCATTCTAGAGGTGACGCTCTCTAAAGCTCATTTCGCCAAAATTAAACTATTTGTCTGGGTGTATCCCCCCATTATTGAAATCATTGAATAATGGTTTTGAAACAATTTATCTTATTAAAATATCACCGAAACTATGTCATCAAGTCGAAATAATCCATATGTCATTAAACTGATTTCCTGCGCCGTTTATCCTAGGGGCGAAAACAGCACTTCCGCTAGTCCAGGTTCATGAGATCAAATTTTTCTCATGAAATTGACAGCGGGCCTGGGGCCTTTTGACAAGATATTCCCTTAAAGGCTAAACCGGATCCCGCGATCATTCGCCTTCACACATAGTGGCTTAGGAGTTTGCATATAGGCGACAAGGTTTTTACTAAATCGATAGAGAAGAAAAAAGCAGAAAACATGCCAGCTGCCCTAGATAGAACCCCATTTGATCCCAGTTTGTACGTGCCCAATTAACTCCATCTCCAACACTACGCCCTCATCCGCACAGCTGATTTCTCCGGTAAGATTTCTACAACCATACAAGTGGCGATTTTCATGCTTTTCGTCCTGCAGCTTCGGTTTTTCACTGAAAATGTGGGTCCTGAAGGCGGAGTCTGGAGGCGGAGTCACTGGAGCCTCACCGGAACCTATCTTGCGCTAGAGCGCCCCTCTCATACAATTTTTTGCCGCGAAACCAGTACAAGGTGGTTCGTTGCAGATCACACTACCCTTCCGAGGCCATATTTTAAACTTCTAACCTGATCGCGGACCGTACCTTCAAGATTATTTTCTTCAGAACATGAATGCGACTACAGCTGTGGCTAAGCGACAGATTCAAGAAGCAGCAACCGAAAGACTCGGTGGAAGGTCAGTAAGCTGTTTTGATTTTCTTGACACCTCCATTTAACCTACGAAGCGGTGATATTCAATCTATTCGGAAACGGGGCACATCACCACGTTGTGGAAGAGTTCCACAGAATGCAACCCCTGCTAAGTTTACTCCTTCGGTAGGGCCTCTTCCATTTCCTACCCACCATCCTTCCGGATTTTTGCAGAACTTCAGATACACACTTTCAGATCACCAATAGATCTTCAGAAAAGTAGCCTGCTTTTTGCCTTAGGCCATCACTCGTTGGGAATTTCAGTCGAGCCCTTGCGACCGCTTCCCCCCCCCCCCTCTTTTTTAGAGACTTGGTTCGACTCCCTTCTCATAAAGCTGTCGAGGGGGAGGAATACGATCCACCTCTTCCACCGTTTCCTAGATATTCCCCAAAATACCCACCACTTTTTGCAAGAATTTCCCAAAATTTCTCCTTTTTTTAGACCGTCGCTGTCGAGGGTGGGAGTAACTTAAATAACACAGGAAACCATGAAAAGTCAGAAACGCTCTTTCGGAAGTCAGAGCTTAGAAGAGAATACGGTACCTCCTCCTCCCAAGCGGCGAGTGAAACTACGACTACTCTCACTTTACATAACGTTTCCTTCAAGAAGAACCAGCTATCAAAGAAATTTTTTCACAAGCTCAAATACGACCCCTCTCTCCAAGGGATCAAATGCGATTCTCCGCTGTGGGGAATCGCCAACAGCGATGTGCCCCGCGCCCAGTTGCTTTCGTGACAGCGCGCAGTGAGACGGAAAAATCAGCAGTGAGAACAAATTCTTTCGAGATGAAATACGGTAGCGGCTAAAAACGATCCTCATGGTGATTTCCCCAACGATGATGTGCCTTATTTGGAAAAAAGGCATGAAATACGAGAGAGCCTAAATAAAAGTGCTGGGGAACGCAACACTCAAAGCAGGGCACACACATGGTTGTGAATAATCACAAGCGGGTAGTGATGATCACAAGTCGTATTTGACCGCTGGAGGGGGGTCGTATTTGGTCTTGGGAGAGGGACAGCTAAAGATCTATGCAACTATTTCCGATAGTTGAAAATGATAAAACGATAGGTGAATCCTGACGACCTTCCCCCTCCCGCTCGACAGCAGAATTTGAAAAAAAACCAGAATTTTCGGGAAAAAATGGAAAAAGTGGTAGGAGGTTGGGAAAATCTAGGAAAGTGGATGGGGAGGGGGAGGGTCATATTCGAGGATGAAATGAGGGGGAATATCATTTCAGGAAATGATCACAAAGCGATGGCGTGCCCTGACTCCAAGTACCTGCGACATGACTATCTCTTGAACTTACTCTTACGACCAAGTTTTCAGAATTGACGTCGTCTGCTCTACCGGAACTTTCTCCTACATAGTGAACACTGAACTGTACTGTGAAACAGAGAAGGATGGCACCACCTGCTTTGCGTTCCGGCAGTCTTCGTAAAATAGTGAAACTCTTCTCTAGGAAACCAGAAAGAGATATCGAAAGATAGAGAAATTGATTCAATGGGTACACAAAGTGCAGTGAAATGTTGTTATTTTGTTTGAAATCTAACTGGAAAGTTATGTGTAATAATAAATATTTGCAAATATTTTCTATCGGTCAACATCAGGTGTTGATAAATGTGTGCAGGGGAGACAGCTTCTGCTGATGAATCTGGCGGATCTTCCTCCTTCTTCGTCTTATTGTCATTTAGTGCTAGTCCGTGATGTGGCGCATGGTCAGACGTGGACCAGAGCGCCCTTTCCCTCACCTTCGGGGTTTCCTATGCCCTTGCACGTGAGCAAGACTATTGCAATGTTGTTTCGATGTGAAAACTTACTCCAGACTTCTCTTCAAGCAGTGCTCTTTACCATTGAAATCGTTGCTGAAATCTAGTTTACTAAGCCATTTTTTTTACTTACTGCGCCACTGTAACAAATCTTTTCTGAAAGCGGTAGGCTCACAGGACACCTGCCTATCGAGTTGAATGGGTGCTTGTCTGCTTATTAGTGACCCGCTTACTATGAGGCGGAGGCAGGCGTGGCATTTACATGCCGTAGAATGAGCCTGCTAGTGGGATTATTTCAGTTTGAGTCAATCGTCACCTTGTTCTCTGTTGGACGAAGACATTACAACTGGGTCAAAATGAAAATATCTCCTCAGGCAGGGTACAGTATCGTAAACGGTGTATTAGTACGAAGAAGGGTCTCAGGTACGACCATGCACCCCCTTCCTATCACCACCTAACTTTTTCCTACAAGTTCCCAGCTTCCTCCCAAATAATTTCCCGTCGAGCATATGTGAAACGGGGGAAACCGCGAAACGTCAACAACTGGGAACCAACGCGGCATGCGGCAGCACGACTCTTCCCGTCTTTCCGCCCGATTGGTTGCATCGTTTGTTTTGAAAACTTTTTTCCGATTGTTGATTTCAGCCGTTTGAAACCCGCTGAGTACCTCGCTTCGACAGCGAATTTTTGGGAGACTGCGAGGAATGCTAATGTGTGCGTCGCAGCGTTAGTTTCCAAAAGGGGCATAGGAGATTCTGCTTCCGGAAGGGGAGGGGTCGGCTGCCCCACTGACACACGGTCGTCACACATGGTCGTATCATATATTCCGCCGCTTCACAACCCCGCGCCACACATATGAACACTGTCCAGGGTTGTCGCATATCGAGGATCGCTCCTAGAATAGCCCCGGGTGCGCCAACGCCTGCAGTGATCGCCGTCGCAAATGACCTCCTACAATCAACATTGATCGCGCGGCAAATAACTGCACTGCCCATGTTCGATGGGCCTCCCGGTATTCTCGCTTCTTGCTCGGCTGTGGACCCCCTTCATGCATGGCGACGGCTTTGCAGGGTTTTAGCCCTTAGAACCACGTGGGGATATATTTTTCTTGGTGACGTTTACATTTGCACTTACAGAGACGCCTATCGGTATAGTTCATCGACCAGAAAAACCCCCTTCCAAGGGAAGCAAGTGAGTTCGTTTTAACTGTAATTAGTTCTTACGTTAGGTTGTGAATTTAACCAACAGTGTTTCATTAGTTATTAGTTCACATTAATGATTATGTTCAATGAGGTCGAAGCCTAGGATACGTACTCTCTATTTGTTTCTACGTCATTATTAATGAAGTGTTCCCCTCCTTTGAACATTAATACCACATACTTCGAAGCAGGCGTCGCTGGATCTTCTTCCGCAAAGACTGGTACCACGTTGTCCAGTTATAAACCAACACAACCTCTCCCACAACTTTTTACATTTTTCGCGTCATTTTATATACAAAGACCATATTAATATTTCAACGCGACCGTTTCCTTTTGAGCAATAGGCTAAGAGTCAGTAGAATGTCCCTCCAAGCTTAGTGACCTTTTTGAACTCGACGCGTATTGTCGAAGAAACTGTATTGCCATTACATTTAGCTCTATCGCATTCGCTGCAGCGTTTCATACACGTCATTTATCTGCGGATGGGTCATGAGATCCGAGTGCGACGGTGTCGCGAGAGCGACGCAATAAATTGCGTCTCGAGCGCGACTTCTGCTGAGATCTGCAATTTCATTGAAAGTGCTACACTCAACGAACGAGAAAGAGCAAGCTGCGCGCCGTGGAATACCTTGTGGCGTTACCAATCGCAGCTCCAATTTCCTGACCCTATCTCTTCGCAACCATTGCGATTGTCGCTAGAAAGCAAAAAATGTCGTTGAAAGAGATTTGTTAATCGTGTATAGAATTATTTTACTACATGTCACATCAGATCGAAAACACTCAAAAAGCAAAACATAACTTATATTCATCATTAGCATCAATTAAAATACTCGTTCATTATCATGAAATGATGAGTAATATGGGTGCAAGAGCTGAGAACCCATTCAATCAGTTTGAGAGACATACTGTAATTGATGCATAAATGATGATTTTTTACATTTGTCTATAAGCTGATTTCCTTTGAGGACCAGAACCTATGGTTAGAATGCAACCGTTCAGCCGATTGTTGCGCTAGATCAATGATTGGACGGGTGTTCAACACTTTTTTTCCCTTTCCGGAGGTGCGCCAGTAATCTTCGATAGGGTCATTCAGTCTGTTTATTAGGTGTCCGGAAAGTTCTCAGCGTTTTGTGCACCTATTTTTTGTACATTCACTGCTGATTAAAACTCATTCTGCCTTGCTTCTCAGTAGCACATCCTGTAGAGAATTTCTTGCGCTATCTGATGGTATAATTGCCGTTTCACCATTGCTTGATAAACCCTCTTTTTTCAAGATTTTTTCAAGCATGTGAAAAGAGCACTTCGGACGATTTTTTTCTTCGGCTATAAATTGGGGCAATCCGCAATCGAAACAGCTCTCACAAATTAACCAGGGGGCCCAATAGTGCTAAGAACTCCACTGCTGCGGCATGCTCAAATATTTCGCTCTGGAGATTTCAGCCTTGAAGGTGAGCCTCATAGCGGTCGACCTAAAGCAATATCTGACGAGGATTTTAGGGGGATTTTGAAGGTTGACCCATCCCAAACAGTTCGAGAGATAGCAGAAGAGCTAGGCCTTGGCAAATCCACTGTTGCAGATGGTCTGGAACGCATTGGGAAGGTGAAAAAACTCGACAATTGGGTGCCCCACAATCGGAGTGACCGGCAGGAATCGGCACGTCCGAGGTTCCTTCTTCACTGCTTTGCTGCCAAAAAATTATGACCCGTTTTGAACGGATTGTCACCTGTGATGAAAAATGGATCATGTATGATAACAGGAGACGTTCCGGACAGTGGTTGGATTTGGAGGAACCACCGAGGTAATTTTCAAAGCCGAACCCTCGCGAAAAAAAAATTCTGGTCAGGTTTGGTGGTCATCGGCTGTTGTAATCCACTATAACTTTTCATCACCAGGCCAAACCATCACAGCAGAACCCTACTGTGAACAAACCGACCAAATGTACCGAAAATATTGTCAGCTGCAGCCAACACTTATCAAAAAGAAAGGGTCCGATTCTTTTGCATGACAACGCCCGCCCACACGTTTCACAAATCCACCATCCAAAATTGAACCGAATTGGGAGTTGAATGGATCTCCCTCACCACCCATCTTCTCTAAACTGACTTCTACAAATGTCTACAAACCAACCGACTGTCACCTTTTCAGACATTTTCAGAACTTCCTTGCTGAAAAATACTTCATCAATTAAGACCAGGCAAAAAACACCTTCGCAGATTTCGTGATTCGACCACCTCAGTTTTCTCTTGATGATTTCTGCGACTGCCTGCCACATTGGCAAAAGTGTGCTGATTCGAATGGTGCTTATTTGGATTAAATCCGATGAGTGTTAAGAAAGTTATGATCGTTTAAAGTTAAACACCCAAAACGCTAAGAACTTTCCGGACAACCTAATATTTCCACCAAAATCCTGCAAAAAGTATTGATTTTGTTTAAACCTTGCCGTGGAATCGCCCATCTCAAGTCTTCTAGCCGAAAACAAAGGTCCCAAAGTAGTATCATGCAGGATACAGCAGCGGTAATATGAAATGACGGTTGTTGTGGCTTTTCTCCCCTGAGGCCTTATGAACACAGAATGAGTTATTTCACTCTGTCCTTCAGTCTAACTAATCTTCAATGTTATCATTTTGATGGTTTTGAGTTACACAAGAACAGAAACAAGAATATTTTATTTTTATTCACAGGATGGCAATGTGATTAAGGCGCTTCTCGCCGGTCAGTCCAGCTACCCGTTTGGTGTGCTCAATGGATCGGTTCATGTAACAACACCAAATGAGAAATTCAACATTTATTAGCATTTCAGCAATATTTATGCCATGTTTGCAGATAGGTCGTCACTGTCTGTGCCACACCTGAAAAACGTGCACTCTATGAAGGCACTTCACAATGAAAAAATAACTCGTAACGAGCTTATTTTCAGGTTTTCACGCATAGTCTCCCTCATCATCATTGTGCAGATACATTCCGTGATTACCTGTGGAATTGGAACCTTCTCGCTGTGAGCTGGTCAACGGTCGTGAAGGTGTACAGTGTCCCGCCACACAGAAGTGCATCGAAGGCGTCAGCGCTTGCACCACACCAAAGTCTCCTCCGCAAAGGAATTCCATGAGTTACAGTCATTGTATCGGTAGGCGCGTGTATATCTCGCGGTTATCCTCTGTGTGACACCTCGTACTTCTGAGCGCCCATTGTCTGATCTCTAGTCTGAGCGCCAGTGTGTCAAGGTTCCTCTGCCTCTCATTCTTCACATGCACTTCCGAGGGGCAAAATTTGCTGCAAAAATTATAGTCATATCAGTGGGGTCGGGCAGTGATAAGTTTCTCATGAGAGGGGGGCAGTATCGGATCGGACGCTACCAACCTTTGTAATACTCTCTACGGTTATCCGGAAAGTGAGGAATGCCGAAACCATCCCTCACGTTCCCTTACTCCCCATTTCGTGGGGTTTTTCGAGTGCGTTTGAGGGTCTTTATCCT